ATGGTCTTAGCTCGATTCACATATTCAGCTGCTATAGCATCGGGAGCATTTATTGCGTATGCTTTAAATGGAAATGTTCCACAAAAGAGGGACTAAGCTGTCTGAAAGGATAATTTCCGCCGAAATTTCTTAAGAAGTTGATTGTTGTGATTGTGTATTGAAGCCATTATACTTAATAAATTGTTAATTTATCCTCTTTTTCTTTTTACATGGTTTACACCTCAAATATGAAAAGATTGTTATTTTGAAGTTTCGCACTTCTGTGAGCTATAAAGTGTGTGCGCTATTACAAACTTTCGTGTTTTCTAGCATGGATGCCGATATTCCCTTGATTCCCCCGCAACCTGTTGAGGAATATGTGATTCCGGATGGATCACTCGTCGGCCCAGGAGATGGAGTAGAAATAGTGCCGTCTAGTGAATTTGTCACGCCTTTATCACCAACGAAACGATTTGGGTAGGTTATGGACCACTATTTGAATCGTACTAATGAACTCTTTCGGGGCCTTTTTTGAGTTTTGCCTGTAAGAACGCTACATTTTATCGCTCTGTTTTCTCTTCATTGCATGTCACCTCATTCTGTGAATCCCATGTTGTAAATTCAAAAACTATTCTTGCCGCACTTTTCTCAACTATCGAATCACTGATTCATTGTTAGCGTTCAAACTAGCATTTAACTTTAAAAGGGAGAGATCACCATATATCAACGAAAAAATGCATGTGTGCAGCCACAAATTCGTTAGAAGCTAGGAAAATTGCACTCATGCATGGCGAGGATTACAATTCTTCAAAATTTCAAGCATCATATTGTGTTTGCTGTTAATTTTGACATGAAGAATTCCTGTTGATCATAATCTGATTCCTTGATGTATGTTCAATAATTCCGTTACAAATATATTCTGCTTTTGAATTAATATTTTCTCTGTTTGTGTAGAATCACAATTTAGCACCATCTCTTTTATTCTTTGCTCAGTCACTTCCTTGTTGCTTTGAATATTTCTATATCTCATTGCGATTTGCTTAAAATTCAAATTTCATAGCTTTTTTGAATTAGCCTAGAGAAAAAAAATGCAAGTTGCAATTTATATCTGTTTTTGCCTTATGCTAGTCTTTTCCTCTTTTTTTCTTCATTCGTCTTTTTGATCATCTCCCCTGCTAGATAAATTTATGACTGGTTTAGTGTAAAGTTATGATCGTCTATCTATCTCTCTGATCTGATAATTTGGTGTATTTTTTACCGAAATCTTGAAAATGTGTCACTATTAAAACTTGATAATTTGCGGATTAAGGAAGTTTGCTTTTACCGATGGTCAAAGGTTCATGTGACCGATTATTGCATAAAATACAGTCTTCAACATGGTAATATCAAGTGCAGACTGCCCCATTTGCTGGCTTGTACATTTGAATTTTCGAAAGCTTTCCAAGTGATACTGTAACTATATGAGTCATGAATAACCACTAATTTCTCTGCATGTGTGTGCGAATGCAAGCTTGAGCTTTTGCAGTTTCTTCGAAAAACGATTTGGTTGACCTTGGAAGTCACGCGTTTTCATAAGTGCAAATTCCGGTTCAATGAAAACGAATGATCGCTTATGCTTCCAAAAATTTGAATTTTCAATAATCTGTTGTCTGAGAAGCAATTGTACGAAATGCACTTTCTGTTTTGAAGTGTGGTGGAGCTTTTTGGGCGGGTAACAAGCACAGCTAGCTCTTTTATCGGGCCTCGGTTTGGTCCGTTTGTAGTTTTGAAAAGCCGACATCACATGGACTTGGCGCCTATTTTTATGATGATGGAAGGTGAAGGCTTCGCTGACAGTTCGACTGTTAGTGGGTGATCGGGTGGTGCTTTCGAGAGTTTGGTCTCGTCTTTGCATTTTGAAGCTGTTTCAAA